TGCTCGTCCAGCTAAAAGTGCAGACCCTTGTGGGTTGGCCCGGTGGGTTGTATGAGTGCATTGACTGATGCCTTCGCAGAGTCTCTGACCGCGCGCTTAAGCTTCGAGTCCCGAAGTTCGCGAAATTTCGACACTAGCTAGGTCGAATTCAGCTGGAACACTGTAGGAGGAATCATCAGGAGGAACATTGTAGTAGCCTACTGCTCTGATCGGTAGTATTTTGAGTATTTTTCGATCAGCATCAGGGAAATGCCGGAGCAAAAACCTCACGAACGGAACTCGGACCACGCGGGATCTTTCTTTCCTCTTCCTTTTCGTATCCTCAGCTCTTACGAATAAACACTTACACGTACATACACTACACTACACATGCCGGGAGCTTAGAACTTGTCGAGGTTGAGGTGGTGTACCGCTAGTGGGCGTAATCAGGATAGGGAAAACACCACACGTCGACGTGTGGGTCGCCGTCGGATCTCACCATCAAGCGGCGGAAGAACACCGCCACCTCTCGTGATAACAACATACACCACACTTACAGGACTAATGACCTTTGCACTTGTCGCGCCTGGAAGTTCGAAAAAATCAATAAAACCTATTGAAATGATTGATACGTATCCGGGAGACGTATGGACTCGGGTTGTTAACTGCTCGTGTCGTTGCCAGTAGGGAAAGACATTGTTTCTGTTACTGGTTCGTAGCCTTGTAATTAGTGTGAAACGCATTACAAAAATACAGGTGGTAATTGTCTAAAAACAATACACTAGGTGTTTAATACATCAATGTTTGGATGGCGTTCTCAACGCAAAAGTGGCTGAGCCCATAATTTTTGTAATTTCACATTAACTCTATCACCTTGCAAATACGAGAATCTCTAACAGTTTCAATGTGTTTCCTTTAATAATACTCTTACATTACAGTTAATAATAATTACATGCAAAGACATGCACTGCAGTGCAAGCAAAATCACCTCAGAGCAGAATGTACATTTTCGATAAACGGTTGCGAAATCACAGCAGAGCAAGTCTTAGATGTTACGATTGCGAGATCGCTGTTTAGCTTGCGTATTCCATTCGTCATTGGGTCTACAAGTCACCACTAGGATGCGTGCACAAACATTACGAGTAACAGACTGCAACTTCGACGACTTCCGCTTTACGCCGCGTTGCCTAGTGTTTCTCATCTCCGGCGCCAGCTAGGGATGCAACATGAAAGTTTTTATACAAACATGGAAGTTTTAAACGTCGATTTATTGAAGCCGATGTATTTGAAACATCGATGTTCCTTTCTCTAACACTTTATGTTTTCGGTGTTTTGTTTGTGAATGAAATAGTTACACAATCGCATGTAGGGAAGAGTTAAAATAAGAAATAGCGGATGCCAGTTCATGTGTTTGAACGACGCAAAAGTTTATCAAGCACACTATTTCTCGTCTGAGTAATAACCCCAATGCCCTGGTATTTCCAGCGCCTTTCCCCGAATTTCGCATGCGGAGAGGCGGTCACTGCAAGCATGGCGTGTCCTTGTTCCCTCACCATTCTCCAGAGAATTCCGAAAGCTCAAAATAATTCCGTGAGATGACCCTGAGCGCACGAGTTTCAGCTTGAGTTGTTCTTTTCTTCTTTTCATATTTGTTTTTTCAATTTTTTTCATTTCTTTCGAAGAGACCGATGCCTTAGCGATCTCGTCCATGTGATGGGCTGTTTCGATATTTGTTTTGGTGCTTTTTACTTTTAGTCACTTAAATCTTAATTATAACCCAAGTTAAATTCTGCCTCGCGCAAACGCTAATGTTAAAGATTACAAAAAAATTTTAAAAACATTGACGTTTTTTGGACGATGTATTATTAAAAATTGATGTTTTAATTTTGAACATCGATGTTTTAAAACATCAATATGTTGTTATCGGTGTCGCATCCCTAATGCCCGTTCATCTGTTAGACGTTTGTGTTCGTGACCGCCCCTGATGTAGTGAATGTGCGATGTGCTATGAGTAAGATTCCACTTTCGGAGCGTGCAAATAGGAAAGCGTCGCTGGAACAACTGAATCATCAGGCAAAGTTCAAAAGGGCAACGACCTGCTTGCTCCATAGTGCTGAATTTTGAATTGTCAATCTACAACACCCCTTCGCAAAGTATCCACGTGGTTATGGCGTAAATTCTATAGTGTAAAGAAAATCCTCGGATAAAATGCTTCAAGTCCCCTACAATCAAATAACATACGAATAGTTAAACTATGACTAACATTTAAATAAGACTTTTGAAAGGTTTTTTAGTCCCCACACGCGCGAGCGCGCGCGCACACACACATCTGCAACATCCTTTTACAACCAAAAACGTGTTTTTTATTATTTTTTGTCAGTTGACATTAAGTTTTCTCATAGAAAAACAAAAATGATTCATACGATAAAAACAGTTTTTAAAATTTTCTCCGCACCAAGTGCAAACAAAAAATGATTGATATGTGACTATTGTTCTGGTTCTATTAAAATTCCTATATTTGCTAGTCGGCGAGGATCGAGGGAGGATCGACCGAGAATCGAGCGAGGATCGAGCGAGGATCAAGCGGAGAATCGAGTAAGTTGACGAGAGTAGTGGAAGGGGACATCAAACTGGTATTTGAGCTGGGAATCGAATTAGGATCGAGCGAAAGATCGAGCGAGGAACAAGGGGAGGATCGAGCGAGGATAAGGTGGAGAATCGAGCAAATGGTGGAAGGGTTCATCAAGTGGGTACTCGAGCTGGGGTCGAGCTCATATCGAGGGGAAAATCGAGGGAGATCGAGCGAGGATTAAGCAGAAAACGGAGCTCGAATCGATCAGAGAACAGAGCGAGTAGACGAGAGCATAGTCTAAGGATTCATCAAGCGGGTATTCGAGCTGGTGTCGAGCTCAGATCGAGGGGAAAATCGAGGGAGGATGTGAGGATTAAGCGGAGGAGGGAGCTCAAATCGATCAGAGAATCGAGCGAGTGGTCGAGAGGGGCGTGCCAGCGGGTGCTCCACATCGGCGTCCGCTGATGCGCGGGGGCATTCCCTGGCGGTGCGGCGCGGCGTCGGCGTCGGCGGGCGCGGTGCGCTTGTTTCGCATACCTGGCCGCTTTACGAGCGCGCGGCGCGCGGCGTGTTTGAGCGCGGGGATGCGCCGGGGAGGCGGAAGGGGAGGGGAGGCGGGAGGGAGGGGAGGGCGGCGGATGCGTCGCGCGTGCCCGCGGCGGCGCTGCCTCGCTCCCGCGAACGCTCGCGCTGCACTGACGGATGGATGAGGCGCTACCGTAGCTCAGCGTGCTTACAATCAGCCGAACTTCATACCAAACGTCAACAACGCTTAGAGTTTTGCAGCTCAAAGTCAATAATAATAATAATAAATAATAATAATAATAATAATAATAATAAAATAATAATAATAATAATAATAATAATATGTTTAAAGATATTTGTGGTTTCAGTGTCAGATTATCCCCACATTTGTTCACAGTCCTGCTCCCTGTTTCATTTATGGAGAACATGTGGCGAAGATATCATACTCGCATCACCGTATCTAGCATACTTGGCTTACCTTGAGATTCTCTTTGCTCATGCAGGTATAGAAACTGAGAGTATTAATATTAAGAAAAAACTTTAAAGGGTTTGCATATTTTTTTTTTCAGGCAATTAAATAATAATAACAATAATAATAATAATAAATAATAATAATAATAATAATAATAATAATAATAATAATAATAATAATAATAATAATAGAGGGAAGGGCTTATTAAAATAAAACTTTGTTTTATTGTGTGTTTTCCTTATTAAGACACAACATATTATCTAGCAGAAAGAAAGAATGACGCGATAAGCTTACGAACAATAGGAGTAACATTTACTTTGTACCTGCTTTCCATTATCTCACAAACATTGTAATCGGCGCATGTTACTTCCCATCAGTTGCGTAGCTAGACTTTTCGAAATCAATGTGACAAGTGGACTTTTGACTTAACTACATTCAAAACGAAGCCGCCGAAGTTGCTTTGCGTAACATTTCGCGATATAAATTAACGACAACTTGATCCAATTTTTCATTCAATCAAACATAAAAACGCGTGTTATAATTTATTTGCTTGTTGTTTAGCCAGTATGTATAAAATTAGTAGACTTAATATTTGTAAATAAGTAAAAGACAGTACACAAATAACTTTTTTTTATTGCGAAAGAGACATTACTTTGTTCTACCTCTTGTACTCTTAAATAATAACAATTCTCTATATTCTGCGAGGGCAATGAGCATCAAATTGCGTGGTCACCTAATGTGTGTTGGCCGTGTGTTGGTCACGCAACTAAAAAAACAACTGATGCAGAGACATGACTCGTGTGCGGAGCACACGTGACAACCACTCATCCTTGCCTTGAGTATCCGAACACAGCAAGAGAAAGATCAATGTTTGAAATTATTCCTGACTTCTTTGATTTATTCAGGGTAAGGAAAGAATGTGACAAAATTTTAAAGTTGTTTCTATCAACCAGGTTTAACTCATTAATAATTCCCACAGTGTTTTTCACTTTCAGTATAATATATTTTTTACAGTAATTTCAGTACCAAATATAGGAGTTCTATGTATTTCTTACTTATTGAAGAAAAAGTGATTTCATATTTCGGTTTAATCTTTGCATAACAAATTTCTAGTATTGTGTAAATTAAAATTAATAATTACTGTAAAGAAATGTAAATTAGAGTGGTCGCTCATGGCCAGACCAGTTGTATATTTATTTACGTCAAAAACAGTTGAAAACTACGTGTGACGTGCTACGTAAAGCGACTGCAATAAGAGATATTAATTACTTTAAAAAAATTAAAAAAGCGTGCATGGAAGGGCGAGTGCTCCGCAGCGATCAATGGCCCTTGCGTGGAGATCCAGGCCCGAGTCTCGGAGTGGCCGAGTTGCGCGCCGTCGGGGGCCACTGATGCGGCGTGGCACGCTCGTAACCGATCGACTCCCATAAAAGTCGGCGGCGCGCAGCGGAAATGCGCGACGGCGGCCACTTCCGCCCCGGGAAGCGCCGCCTGCGAATTGCGTTACCTTGGATGCAATCGGCCGCGATCGGTGCCTTATCGCCGGGGGCAGAGACTACTAAGGTCATTTCAACCAAGTTCAGACCAGAATCTAAGATAAATACAAATCGAAAAAAATTGTTGCAATAAAAAAAAATACTTCACGATTGATTACCAATTCCAAAACGAAAGTAATATTGAGTTTAACAATGACATGTAATGTATTATATATCATTTGAATTGTATAACTCTAAAGAATCTGTCACAACTATTGTACTTCAGCTTCTGGGTCAATGACCCCCATCTCGATCAGGTTTTCGTCCAGTTTTCGTGATCCTCGAACAAATGCTCAGATGGCAAACGCCTTGTTTTGCTTCTGGACATAAATGTATATTCAAATTAACTTCTCCCCATAGTACGTCACACACAGTCTTTAACTGTTTTGACGTAAATAAATAAAGTGCAGAAAGTAAAAAAAAATCAAAATCAAAAAATTGCGAAATAAAAATAATTATTATTGATAACTAATTCATATTGCATTTGAATGAGTCGAATCCAAAATAGAAACGTTTTTTCCTCCAATTTGCTACTTTGAAATTGAAAATTTAATATTCAGATAACACCCTCCATATACTGTAATAAATGATACGAGTAATTTTGTTCAGATGATCGTTTTCAATGAATTCAAATTGTAATTTAGTTTGATCAAAAAAGAAGTGTTATATGATTTACAGATTCCTTTTATAAAACTTTGAGGTATGGAGTTGTTTTTACTTTCTCGTTACGGAGTAGAGAGAAAGTTATGTCGTTCTGCGCGAAAAAATGGCGAATTTCCGGCAAACTTTTATTACAGGGCCCTTATAATTAAAAAGTGGATAAATTCAGTTGCCAAATTTGGAAAAAAGTCCTCTTACACGCCCTGTAGCCAGAATCCATGTTTTGGGGATTCTTGATACTGTCCGTCCGTCCGCTAGTGAACAAAGTTTGCGACCGTTCAGCCGATTTCCTCCTCAATTTATATTCCCAATCAATCTGGCTGATGTCGCGGCCTCTTGAATTTGAAACCGGCATTTTAATTTTAGGGGTACTTTACATGAAGCTCCTGGGACATATTCCAAATAAAAGAATGGCTTCATCGTTTTTTATTTAGTTTTTTTTGTTGGAGAGAGTGAAAAACGTTTAACATATTAAGGCAGTTTGTTGTTCGTTAAAAATCCTGATTTTTTAGAAAATGACAAAAATTTAAAAATATTTCTTCCTACCATTAAAATATTAACGATAGAGATTTCTTCCTTAATGAAATCTGTTTTTTAAGGATATTTTTTAAAAATAATATCATGTAGAATTTTTCGAAAATTTGGGTACTTTTTTCATAATTGTGCGTGAAAATACGTTCTATTTTAGCACCACTCGTTTCCCTGGAGGTATCATTAGGTTCGATACATGTTATGATTAGGTCCAGTTCATATGTTTTCTCACGCTAATGAAAATGTTTTCCAGATATTCTAAAGCTTTAATGTTGCTTTGTTAACTCATACTTTCAGATATGAGAACCTATACATGCTAAAATAATGGCTATATAATAATAATTGACAAATGTTTCGTATGAAGGAATATAATGCAGACACAAATATCTTAAAAATCACGAGAAAATTAGTAAATAGCCACATCCTTAGATTCAAATCAACAAAAAGTCATGTTTTACCTTGGAATGTTTCAAGAGATACTCTTTTCTGAGATTTTATGTTCTTGTTTAAGAAAACCCACCGGGTACCGTTAAGACATTCAGTTTCTTCGATTTGCGTTTATTTCATTTGTATGGACTGCACTTTCTCTGTTACCATTAATTTTTCCCTTTCGCCTTCTCGCTCTATCTTATCGTCACAGTCATTGCTGTTTACTTTTAGTCCTCACGAGCGAATTTCCACTGCTGCGAGTCCAGTGTACATTGACCACACCTGATATCAGGAAAAAATTAATACTTAAAAGATAGTTCTGCCAAAAATGCCACTATTAAGTCGCAGTGCAAAAACATTAAAACTAATTCAAGATAACCGAAAGATAAATATTACGCCTACCTTCGATATACATGATGTAGTATACTAATAATCTCCGAGATCCTCTCTCGTTTTTAAAACTTACTACTACACAAACATCGTTCATATAATGTTATATAAAATATGGCAAACCAAACATATTAGAACTAAGTGAAAGCTTCACATTAATTAACTCCCCATCTGATGTTTGCTTATATTCAATTAATTTCGTAACAATGTATTCAGTTCTCTGTAAACTTATTATCGATGATCAGACAGTAACTAAACATGTTAAAGCTTTATCCCACCACACGGACCGCGCTTGCGTAAAAAGACAACAAAAATACACGCGGTTGTAGATCGATGATACACGCTGTTGATGAATCGACAGCAGTCATGAAATACCTCTCTTGGGGCCTTTCCAGTCGTCTGAGAAGAGTGTTCTTTTTGGCAGAGATATTCCAACTTCATTTTGCCACTTTTTCTTCGGTCATCTGCTTTGCTTCTTGGGAATGCTCTTCAGTCAGTTATCTTATTTGGCCATCTTTCTGCACTCATGCGTCTTACGACGTAAGTTGTTTTATTCCTCTGCTCGTCGTTTGGTGTTGTACTTTTTTAATACATATGTAGGTCTTCTATGAACCAACCGTAGGTGCGTCCTTGTTCTTGCGTCAATTCTGTTATCAGGTCAACATCGAATTTACAAAATGGGCAGGCTATTTATCGCCTTGACCACACTGCGCTGTTAAACATAGAGGCACTCACATATCTAGAAGGCAAAAACTTTCACAAACATCCATGACCGAGGCCGAATTCGAACCACGAAAGTTACGAAGTTTTAAACTTAACGACCTTCGTGAATCAGATTGGCAGTTTTGTAACATTATTTTAAAAGTTATGCTAATTTTTCTTCTCTGAAATTACATGTCTGTTACCAGAAGTTTCCTTTTATTTCGTCTGTTGATGTCTTGGTTTTGGCTTCACTTGTTACGCATTTCATTACTTTATATTCTCTAATTTTATTGTTTCTTATTTGCTTGCTCCTATCGCCTTCGTTGGCTGACTAAATTTATTTACACATCTATACGTGTATTTTTGTGCAGGTCTGGATGATGAATTGATGGGTCCTTAGCATAAGCAAGATAGAGTGCTACCGTACGGTATTGAAATATTGTTCGTCATCGTTAACATTATCAACTTCACAGATAAATCCTGTTCCGGAGAGATATCACGGTTTTCCTGTTAAGCATTTATTTAGTTATGCTTGTTTCGTTGTAGTATTCGAAGTAGCATTGGTTACTCGAAATTACTGTCGTCATATCGATTATATATACTTCATGGCTGGGGGCAGACCCAACACAATCGGCTCAAGAACTAAGGTATTATTTGGAGCATGTAAGTCCTATTTATATTTTTTCTCAGAAGAGACTTTTATGCTGATGGCTCTTTTACATAATGTAATTTTACAACATGAGTCAGTCAGCTATACTTCCCTTCTAAAGGAAGCTGTCTGAATTAAGTAGTATGTCAAAAATCCAACAGAATATAAAATGCATGTTATCAAAACGAATATGAAAATAAATTATCGCCTTCGTGATGTATATATTCAATATTCATATATTTCTATGTATTTATGAGCTAAAATGAAACTTCACTTAAAAAGATAATTGAACACCCATATTCAATGAGTTTCATAAGCACGCGCTTAGTCACCTTGTCCCACCCTTAATCCACCCCGTTCATAATATGCAAATGATTTCTGGGAACACAATGGACGTAAATCGTACAGAGCACACACTTCTGTATTTCGAGACTCACACGTCAGGGGAACTAAATCGATTTCTTCCAGGGACGTGGTGACCAGTAACAGAAGGGTAAAAAGCCCAAAATTTGTATTAACAATGAAACATTCCATAGTATCCTTGTCCTGTTTGATTAAATTTTGGATATGTTGTAAAGGATGAAATAATAGTTTTTTCCTGCTTTTTTCTTTACTGCGAACAAAGGTTTTAAAGGGTAAAATCACCATCCATAGGGTTGGAACGTAAAGAGACTATTTTACTGCTTCCCGTAGAAAAAGCAAAATTTTCGAGCAATCTTAATTATAAAATGTGTGAGTGCAAGCCTCGTTACAAATTTCATTTTGCTATTCGTTAATTATCAGGGTAAACTAATCCCAAATATAAAATCATATTTCGAAACTGCTATATAAAGTAACCAAACACGAAGGAAAAACTGGATTTTGGCACAAGGTTTTTTAAAATTTTATTTATTTATGGTCGCTTTGTATTATGGTCGCTGTCTCAGGTCATCAGCGACCTCATTATGTGTACATCAGTACATTACCAACAATTTCAATGTTACAAACTATTGTATCATTACATCATATGCATTACATCATTGTATCTTAAAAATTATATCGTTATTATATTACAAGAATAAATTTCTTAGTTCTAGTAATTTCAATTGTTTTGCAACCTTTTTCTAATTGGAACATTGTGTACAATCTGCCTTCTATTTTCAATGATTTCCTAACATTATCAGGTCGTTGGCGGTCGAGGATATTTTGAGAAGCAGATATGATTAGGCCACATGTCGAGGGTTACATTTACCCTCGACACAAAAGGTATCAAAGTAGAACTATTTTGGATTCCTTCTCATAAGAATATTATTAGAAATGAGAAGACAGACACAGCTGCAAAAATGGCAACATCACTACCAAATGCTGAATCGCAAATTCATGGGACCCAAAAAGACAAAAAAATTCAATGATTCTTGTTTAAAGTATTGGAAGTCACATTGGAAGATGCAGTTATCAAAACTACACCAAGAAAGAAACTCTATCCTATTACCAGGTCTACGGAAATCAAACTGGGAAAATATGTTATTCCTCCAAAATAAAATCGACGCATTTGTCAACGCATTTTGACTATTACATACTTAATTCAATGACTTTCTACAAGAAAAGTAGTTTCCAGCATAAATTCCTCTCAAAGTTTGTATCAAATATGAATAT